TACCCCCAAAAATAAACCCCCTGGACAGCCCCCCCTCCGGCCAGGCAGAGTACCGCTCACTGACCTAGCGGTATCCCGAAGGTGCCAAGCCGCGGGAGCTGGGGGGGGAGAAAGGCGTTCACGTTGCTTGCAGCCTTTGGGATACTGCTAGATTAGGGAGTGGCGTTCTGCCTGGCCGGAGGGGGGAGTTGCTGGGTGGCTGCTCCCTTGCGAGCAGGCTCCCGAAGAGCCGGGCACAGCCTCAAGGGCGAAGCAACTATGAGGTGACCACGCTCACAAGCAGCCGCCCAGCAAACCCCCTCTCCAGCTGGGCAGAGTGCCATTCACTGACCTAGGGGATATCCCTAAGGCGCCAAGCAACGTGCCACTCTGCCCGCCCACCAGCTTCCGCAGCTTGGCACATTAGGGATATCCCCTAGGTCAGTGCATGGAGCTCTGCCCGGCTGGAGTCAGGGGTTGCGCAAGCGCCTGTTCCGCCCCCAGCAAGCATGCCTCCCAGCCTCACCATGATTGTGGGCCAGCTGCTAGACAAAGTGTCTTCCAGACAGAGAGTCTTCCAGCAGCTGGCCCACCATAGAGAGCACTCCTAGAGCGGCCGATGCTGGAAGACTCGTCAGCCGAGTTTTGAAGTTTGGAAGTTATGCTCGGAGAGTGGTGGCGGCCATGCCCTGGGAGAGCTGTGCAAGGGCATGGTGAGGCTGGAAGGCATGCTTGCTGGGGGCAGAACAGGCGCTCGCGCAACCCCCCTCTCCAGCCGGGTCAGTGAATGGCGCTCTGCCTGCTTGGAGAGAGGGTTTGCTGGGCGACTGCTTGTGAGCATGGTTACCTCATGGCTGCTTCACCCGAGACTGTACCCGGCTCTTCGGAAGCCCGCTCACAAGGGAGCAGGCGCCCTGCAACCCCAAAACAATAAGCCCTCCCTGATAATAAGCGGAAGACCATATTTCGTGGGGCAAAAGAAAATAAGACCCTGTCGTATTTTCGGGGAAACACGGTAGCAGTAAAACTATGGTATCACACTCTTACTTGCTTCAAAGTGACAACTTGCTGATCAGAGAGCTTTTATTTCATGCTAATGGCTTACACATTTTCGAAATGGCCAAAAGCATACTTTTTACTGAAAGCACTGATGGTACAAGGACATTTCTTGGTAGCAACAAAAAGAGGGATTATTGTTATTATTATTAACTTTATTCATTAAACATGAAA